CTATTTCTCTGTCTGTCTTCTATGTGAACACTCCAAATTTATTTACACAACTGACTGTATTTAAAAACTCAGATCTGCCAATAAAACTCCATTTTTACCTGTCATGCTCAAATCAGGCCATGTTTGAGGCAAACTAGAAATTACAGAATACTAAACTGGTGTCTAAGAAAGCACTGTCCAGTAAAATGCGAGGATGAGACCAGGCAACTCATTTTCATTCACGATTCAAGCCACTAAGTGAATCTAAACTAAACCACTATCACATGTCAATTAGTAACTTATAAACCACTCCAAGAAATACGTGAGTCTCCCAAAGAAAATTACTGGCCCAGTTGTCTAGAAGCTAATTGTACCTTTACCAATCCAAGCAGAAATATTGGTTATACATCTTAGATTTGAATTAGAATTTCTATAGATGTATTTGTACATGCATTATGTTACATTTACACTGCCTTTTGTCACAACTGTTTTCAGTGTTGAATTAATATTATTTATTCGGTTGTACTTTTCTTGGTTTGGAATGAAGTCTATACTGTACTTATCAATGCGACTCTAGTTACACAAACCAGTGTGATCATGTCACGCAGTGTGGTGACCATTCAAAATCTTGGGACTTCAAAATCTTGCTGAAACATAATTGTGGAGTTGCCAGCACAGAATATCATGTTTAATGACAAATTATTTTAATCCATCAATTAATCTTCCTTAAAATATACATATACATTTCCCTATCCTTTCTACAGAGAATGTCTTCTCAATACTTTATAGCCCAAAGAACTTTACAGCTTTCATGTTTTGAAGGCTTTTTTTTTTTTTTAACTCTCCCAGAACAGTGAAATCCTTTGCCTGTTTTTTTGAAAGATTAAGACTAGGGGAATGGCTTCTCCACTTGGAGTAACCAGCAAACCCAGGTTCATCGATAATCTATTTTGCAGAGGAAAAAAAAAAAATAAAAGACAGACATGCTATGAAAGAATGAGTCCTCATAATAGGTGCGGTTTATTTCACCTTCAGTATTTATTTTCAAAGACAGGAAAAAAGGTACTACAGAGTGCTTGGAAAGTACGATCTTTCAAGATATCACAGAAATTCCAGGTGACATCATTTTTGGCCCAAGCTCAAAGGCTACTGTGAAGGGACACATCTCTTCCCAATTACTCTCCACATAAAGATCAAAATGAAGGCAAAGGGCCTATTCTTGGAGATACCCCATTCCAAATGTGCTGTGTGATTACTCACATACATTGCATATGTGAAAAGTAATTTTTTTTTTTTTAATCAGTGAGGCCGCAAAACTCCCGAAGTAGAACTGGAAGCAACTGCCTATTCTTCCTCACTCTGCTTTCTACAATGACAACAGCCATCAGAGACTAAGGTGGTTTGCACAGAGTCTTGATTCTGTTCACACAACACCAGACCAGTGAGAATGAATGGTACTTTCCCACTGGATGACCAGAGTACCTTGTATTGTCCAGAAGAAACAGAATGGAGTTCTGAAAAACAGGGCACTTTTTAGGCCTCTGCCTAGACTGAGAAGTTGCACCAACTTATTCAAAATTATTTTTAAACTGGTTCTGGCTGCATTAATGCCTAAGTGAAGGCAATTTAACATATTTTCTCTTGCAGTCGAGGTGGGCTAGGAATGCACTCCCACTCAGTTACAATGACTCAGTCAATCACCAGTAACTCTTCACGTCGCAGTAACTTGTCTGCTTGCAACTGCTTGTCTGTATATACCTGAGAGCAGCTAACCCGGTGTTGAATGAGGCAAGTCAAGTAAGCTTACGCTTCTGCATTAGCCCTGAAACCCGATCAAAACCAGTTTTAAGAGCTTCCACAAGGAATTTTCCACATGTGCAATTGCATTGTCTTTTATTTATGCACATAGTCAGATACTGCAGTAAAACTTCGTGAGGGTCTGCCTCCCAGGGGAGGAGTGCTGAGGAACTAGAAGCGTATTTCCACAATGCTCTCCCCTCACTTATTACAAAATCAAACGGGGATCTTTTAGAAAGCAAGAGTTATTCTGAATGTCACACTCAACTCTGTCCTGTGTTTAGGGCCATATTTATGTTCCAGAGCAATCTCTTCCTTCCATACCTGCCCACATGCCACTTCCCTGCATTTTGAGCTGACAGGGACGGCTGTGAAACAACGAGCGCTACCTCGAGCTCTGTCTGTCCACATGGAGCTTCCAGCAGTTCATGTGTTTCCTTCTACCTTCCGCCATTTCCTCATGAATCATGCCATGGAAAAGGGATACTCGCGGAATGCTCCATCCAATCACAAAGGAACCCCTGATGAGCAAACCCCTGATGAGCAAACATATTTAGCATACTAAGCAATGCTGGCATTATGAACAAAAGTTTCATTCTCTCAGGCCTGCCTTTCTCTTGTTCACAGCCCTGACAGAATATACTGGGTAGCGCTCCCTTGCTTTTCTGCAAGTTAGTCTGGAAGAAACCAGGAAACAACTACATGGAAAGTGGACCCTGCATCTAAGAAAACATCTTTTGACAAAGTAGCCTGGTGTGGCAGGAGTGGAAGGGGGACACTGGAAGAAAAATAACTATACCATGGAAGTAACTAGTTTGACAGAGCTGAACACAGAAATCTTTAAACTACTGAAAAAGTACCTTAGAAAAGAGAGGCATACAAACTTCGCAGTGTTCAACTCCAACAGTGCTATGAAAATAATACCACAGTCTTGGCCTTTTCTGCTTAAATAACAAGCTGTAGGTAAGAGCCAAAGATGTCTATCATTTGGAGAGCACAAAGTAGCCTGGGACCACACACTCACTTTACAGATAGCTACAAAGATTACATGAAGATAGGACTATAAAGACATATCTCTAAGTCCCTGCCAACCTAATCAAGATGGTATTAACAGTGATCTCACACTCCATCTGCCTGGCTAGTAATTTATGAAAAACGTACTTCATTATTACAGGAAAAATATGTTGCACTGCTTGTGGCCACAAATCTACTGCAATTGCTCAGGAATTCTTGGATAAGAGACCATTAGACCAATTCTTGACATTTACCAGGTATTGCAGATGAGAATGGATGCAGATTACAGAGTGGTTTTTGGGGGGGCGGGGAGGTGGGTTGTTTCTTTTGAACCGTTTGTCCTATTTATGATGTTTGAGCAGATGAAAGAGCGGACAAAATTTACCGTGTTTCACAATTTAGTGCATGCACAGCATGTAATTTTATACTTCATATCAAAGATCAAGCCTATTTATTTAAATACATGTTAAAAACTGGAATCTTATCCAAATTTTCCCGAATCCAGAAGAAATTTAATATATTTCATTTTGTAATTCCAAAAGGATACTTGAATAAAAATACCTCCCTATTCTTGCACTGATCAATAAATATCACTGATTAAATCACTCGTTTTCTTATCAGAAAACAGAAAAACTCATCCTACTTACCAAAACTACCTTTCTTCAAGTAATCTAAGTTTTCCTTTAGCTAAGCAAACTCTTTAGGTCTGTGCCTACGCAACATAAGCTATAGGACTCATTAGTTGCAAATAGGATTTGCCCTCCCGCCTTTGGCAAACAGTATAAAATCTTCCAATCTCCATCAAATCAAAGGCCAAGATTACACAGAATGACCTCTGTGTACCAAGATACAAAAAGTCACCAGCAAGAAACAGTGGAATTAATCATGCATTTCTTCACTTAGCAGGACTACTGTGTGAATCATCCTGGTTGCAGCAGCAAAGGAATACTAGATGTACCATGAAGAACATGGTGAAACTGGACAAAAGAAACTGCTGTTATTTTACAAATGGTGTTCTTACTGAGCACAGGGGTTAAGTGAGAAGGTTAGGAAATTAAATGGAGTAACTAAGCCTATGTTCTCACAAATTCCTCTTGACATGAACAACTTCAAGGCATCACTGCTCACATGCTCACAATCATCTGTAAGACTTATGTCATAATTAAAATATATGAGATTTTTCTCCTTTAGCTGTGAGACAAGACACTGACTTGTAGCAGAAAATCATTCCCCTACAAAACAAAGCACACAATTTACTTTGCATACAAAGGTCGAGTTACTCATGAGAAAAATTTCTCAAAGAAATGGGCAAACACAGTGTCAGTAGGATTTGTTCCATCTTCAGAAATGCAGTGGAAGGAAATCCTTCCCCTAAGTACGTATGGCTACAGCACTCCCCTGTAAAACTAAATACTGTACTGCACTACGCGAACAGAATTTTGAAATAAGTTGGTTTAATTTGTTAGCATTCCTTTAAAGGTTTCTTGCCATGATATACACAACTTTTATGTTTAGGGAGACTTTTTTTGCCCCATTAGTTTAGTTCCTCCAATACAGAAGTCAGTATTCTTCAATCAGAAACACTCTTCTACTAATCTCACCTGGCCAGAACAACCTAAGAATAGATTTGCCTTTTAAAAACATTTTTGGAAAACAAGAAATCAAAACGGCTTCACTTCATCCAACAGATACACACTTTGTAGGCTTTGCTAATATATGCAAATTGGCTGGTTGCTTGAAATTACTGATTAGCCATGCTGGAGAGCTGATTACCTGATTATCCAAGAGAAAAATCATTTAGCAGGATTTTATGTCACTTGATAGTCTAGATAATTTTCTAATTAATTTGAGTTTAAGTGAAGTTATAGATACTACTGAAGAAGAAAAAAAAATAAGAAAATGATTTGAAATACAGGTAGCTTTCCAAGAATTTTCTACTTGCAGCAAACATTTGTCAAAAGTTAATTACAGATGTTAGTTACAGATACAAAAGTCAAAAGCTTGGCTTAAAAAAATTCAGACCCCAATCCATGATAAACTTTTCAATTTCATATGTTTCGTAGTGCTGAATATGCAATTACTAACACAGTATCCTGAGGCACAACATTAAACTTGCAGAATTACCAAGAAATTCTGAAGGGTGCATGACACAATTCTTAGCAGATATTTGTCAATATGTTGAGAGAATAATAAATACTGGAAATACTTACTTGCCACTGAAAAGTTGTTGAGTGGGTATGGCAGATCCACATCCTGGGGCTTCTCCTTATAGCCTATGAAAGAGCCATCTGTCTTTAGCAGGAAATACCTTGGCCGCCAATTTTTTATATATTCTCCTAGAAGAAAAAAAAAATAGTTCTTTAGAACTGTTTAAAAAAAAAAAGGCAACTTTGTTATTAAAGTACATAATATGTTATTAGTGTCAAATATCCACCGCATCGAAAACTTTTTAGACACAGTTTCAGTTTACAAAGGAAATTTAACTTCCTCCCACAGAAGAGGAAATAAAACACAATGGTAAGCCTGAGCTGTAAAATGATGCCTTTGGAATAAGAGATCTACAAGCATCACAGAGGAATATTCTCTAAGTCTAAACTTTATTACACTATACATTTATAAATCCTACCTACATCTTAATATCTATAAACAGTCTGAAATGTGCCTATAGGTGAAAAAATGAAAAAGGACTCCAACATGAATTTAAATAACAAAATGAAGTCTACAAGGTAGAATGTGTGTTTTGCTGAAAAAGAAGACAAAAAAAACATTAATTTCTCCAAAAAGACCAAACTGTAAGCAAATACAAGAATATGGGAAATGGGAGAATCTACAAAAGTGTATTTAACAAATCTACATGAAAGCACAACGAATAAATACCAAAGAACACAAAGTAGAAGCCAGTTAACTTTTGAAAAGATTAATCCAGCAATAAATTCATCACCACCTCCTTCTCCCTTCCCCAGGCTCAGCAGAAGATTCTGCAAGCCATGAGATGTTCAGGCACAAAGGACCACAGAACAGGAGACAAAGCCATGGTACTTAATTAATGTCATTTACTCAGTATTTAAGGATGAGAAATCTCATGAACAGCCCTATACTTCACAGTGCCACTCCAAAAATCTCAGCAACAATTTCATTTTTAACATGTAATTACCAAAGTACTACAGGTAAAGTTAGATCAGCTTAACTTTTCCTTAAATTTCTGTTAACTTTGCAGATTAAATAACATACATGCAAGTACCTACTAAGTCTTTGAAAAATAAATACATCATGGTTTAGTCACCATACAAATGAATATTTTAAGAATAAAAGTGTACATAACACTGCAGAATATCCAGCATCGCTTAGGACTGAAAGTTGCTCTTCATACACTTTATGCCAAGACACTGTTCTAATCTGAGACCATTTCAAAATGTCACTGTGAAACAGGAAGCATGATCTACTTGTTTAAACTTAAAAAACAAATTTCAATTTCAATAGGGTTGAAGCTGGAAAGTTATTTCATTCCTTGTATCCAGTTTTCCCATTCTACAAAATGCTCAGAATGATTATCTAAGGGCTGCACTGGTTTAGAAAGCTAAGCCTTTCAGCTGAGTTTATCACCTCAGCACCGTATTAGCTACGACTAAATAACTTTTAGACATGGCAGAGTCCAGAAGGAAGTTCACATTCACAAGTTCAAATGCCAATTTTTCTAGGCAAAGGTGGTGGGGGATGGAGAAGAGATCTTGGTGCTACTTCAGCTAGAACATGTACTGTCAGTCTGAATTGATTTCCTAATAGAAAATCCCAGCTCAAATTAGAGCATTCAATATTGTTAATGAGCATAAAACTACAAAAAAATACCCACAAACTGATACAAGACTTTGAAATTTTGATAAGAAATACAAGTGTAGCACAGGAAAACACACATGTCACTTTAATATCCATAACAGTGAAAAACTGTATTGTCATTACATGGAAATGTACCTCTTTTTTTAAAGTTAATTTTGTTAAATACTTGAAAACAAAATAAACATAAGCTTAAGTAAAAGTAGGACTCTACTTTCCAAGAACACCTAAAGAAAAATTTGCCAATATCCCCTAAGAAAAATTTGCCAGTACCTGTGGCGACCCTCAAAAAGACGTCAACTCAATATTTAATATACGAGATCATTCAATACAAGGTTTTAAAATATTAAGATTCCGGTTGCTTTCTTAAACAGAGCATAAAGAGAACCTCCTGTAGGCTTTACATAAACTGCATTTTGCTTACTTGCAACAGTGAAGGATTATTAAGAGACAAAGTGCCTGCCAGTAGGTTTAACCATCTTTCAAGAGCTTAGCCTTTTGTGGAGGGTACATTCATGGAGAGCAGATGACTAAAAACTGCTGAAGCAGAGTTCAAGGAGAGCAATGATGTGCACAGCAGAGCAATACACCTGAGACAGACCAGCCATCCCAACGTTCAAGTCTCAGAGAAAGTCCTCCTCACTGCAAAGAACAAATGTGATGACGAGATGGGCAGACTCGGCTCTAAAAATTCCAGGTGACAGGGTACGTACACTCACTAGTCACTTTAAGAAAGAAACAGAAGTCTTCACTTGCTTACCCATATGCCTTCCAGCATGAAACCTTTAAAAAAGGAGAATATTTTTTAGCAGGTACCCAGAGAGAGCCAGGGCACAGTTATCTGATCGTCTGCTCCCTCCTCCTTTATAAAGGACAACATCACAGCTGGCATACGGCTCCTAGTGGGAACGCAGTCCCTTAAGGAGAAAATGGAACAGATTTTTTTCATCATCTAGTGTGTTATGCAGCTGATGTTTCACCTATAGAAAAACCATGAGAAGAGCACAACCAGCACTGCCAAGCTTCTCTGAAGAGAGCTAGTGACTACGGACAGCAGCTGATCCCAAGAAGATGTAAACACTGCTCGGCGCGCAGGCACCCGCTTACCAAGGAGCGCGGCGGCTGCTTTGCCTTCAGCCTGCAGGCTGAGGCCACGCGCGAGACACACAATTCAAACGCAACTCTTGAAACTCTGTTGCTTCTTAAAGACCTTCAATATTTCTTTCATAAGCATATTTCTTTGGAAATGTTTTTCCTAGGTGAGTTGAAGTAAGGCTATTTTTTCTAGATGTCCCTGCAAACACACACACACACACACAATAACCTAGCTTCCTCTTGAAATGACCAATGGCCCAATCTTCAAGGCCTGTACACATATCTACAATCTGTCCTTTATTTATTTTGTCATTTAATTAACAAATGGGTGAACACCTTTAATGAATAAAGTAAACAGTGATATCAGTGAACAATTTATTTAACTACTGAAGTGGTTTAATGGCTCTCAAGATGCACTCCAAGTGCTCTCTTATAACTGTTCCTTCTACATAATCTGTTCAAAGATTTAAAAACATTTTAGCACATAAATGTGTGTTTACTGAACTGCTTTGAAAGAGAAATCTTCCATATAGAAAAATACTTAAAGGAGAGTATTTGAAAAATATACTCTGCCTTCAAAAAAAAAAAAACACACAAAACACACACACAACCACCACCATCACCAGTGGTTTTGGTTTTTACACCTTTTACAGTACGGGTAATATTAACCATCTAAAATTATCTGGAGTTTTTGTTTACCCAATACCTGAACATAAACAAACGGCAGGAAGTTTACACTTAGAAATTCATTAATTTAAGTAGAAGATTTCCTGAGAAAGGAGAAGTCCATGCAGGCTAACCACAAGACAAGACGTCCCGACAATTTAATGGAATATAGCTGAGGTTGTTTAAAAAAAAAAAAAAAAGAGGGGATCTGCCATAAAAAAATAATTTTTT